CTAGCTCTGTGTCAGCTAACATTGCCCATTATCGAGGAAGGCGATGACTAGGCATACATAACACATGTCCTAACCATCTCAGTCGATGTAATTTCACCGTTTCGTCGATTGATTTCCCCTCCTGACCTAGCACTCGACCGAAGCCTAACCTTAATATTGCTCACCTTATCATAGTACTTCACACGGGAGATAGAGCGCAGGCACCTATGATCGAAGACAGATAATCTTTTCATGTCTTCCACTCTCAATGGCCAGGTCTCACAGCCATAAAGGAGGACAGAGCGGACTGCTGAACAGTACACTCGCCCTTTGGTCGATAGTCAGATATCACGTCTACGCCAGAGACAGCGTAAACTGGCATATGCAAAACTAGCCCTCTGTATCCGTACTGAGATTTCGTTAGAGATCAACCCGTTGGCACTGGCTGATGGTACTTCCCAAATAAGTGAAGTGGTCAGTGTGCTCTACCACTTCACTCCCAATTTCTAAACTAGGAGTCAGTGTAGTCCAGTCCTGTAACATCATCAGATTCTGAGTGTTATTTAGAGGTTCGGCTAAGCTCCTCATTAAATTTCATCGCTAACCCGCATCATTTAGGAAATCACTGAAAACTAAAGACTACTGAATTGGCTTCAATATGGATGTCCTGAACTCCTAATTAGAAGTTGTGGCCAATGAGGTCCACCGTGTTAATTGTCGTCGGAGCTGTCACTTAGATTATGAGAGTTTTAGGAATTTGGACTAATTTCAGTGAAGACCTGGTCAGGAACCAAGACATCAGCTACAGAATCATTGAGAACCCTGGGATTCTTTAAAAGTTCGCACCCACGACCCCAAGAAGGATTGAAATCATAGAACTTCAGGTTATCAGGCCAAACTTGTTGAACATTCAGCCAGACAGCTAGGCCGGGATTCAATGCACCCATGAATCCTAACTATGTTACTTCCTAATATAGCGCTATCATCATCAACCAGTACCAAACAAAGTGTTAAATTCGTTGCAAACCTATAGTCAATATATAAGTCTCTAGTTGATGGATGGCTACTAGGTGGAATGTCCTGTGGGTTTGCTGAGAAATCGTGGCCAGCAGAATCCATCATGTCAAGATGAAGTGCATGCTTGTCGAATGCGTTCTTTGAAGGTTGTTCCCTATCTGGAGTTGACGAATTTGAAAAACCCTTCAAAGTAATATACAAAATTCAATCAAACCTATCAAAGGGAATCAAATCAAGACATCTGGGCATAGCTGAGGCGCTAGCTATCCACACTCTGTATCCAAAAGAATTACGTCCAACCCCTCTCCCTACCATGGCCATCATAAACAGGTAAAAGTTTTAGTAATGACAATCTCATCGCCTTTCTTATCTAAACTTCCTGTTTATTCATGTTATTTTAAGTTTTATTAAACCCTGTTTACACTACCATATTTTCATACCCACTCTTCCTGTTTATTTTGTCATTTTACTATTTCTACATATTTAATCCCTGATTGCACAAACAATTATTCATCATATTAGTTTTTTATCCAAACATCCTGTATATTTTGTTATTTTTACATTTCTAACCCCCAATTGCACAATGTCAGTCTTCTTAGTTACTATGCTACTTTGTTTGAGTTTTACCTATCCCCCTGTTTGTTATGTCACTTTAATTCCTAATTGTAATTTTCTATTAATTTGACCCCTAACCAGAAATTATTCTGGAACTTTCCTATCCATTTGATATAAATACACGAATGTACAGCCTAGATGATGACTTCGTCGTAAAGAAAATTTTCTTCGCTGCAATTGTCTTTTTATTAACTCCTATGAATTTGGAATTCACAGGCCACACGGACTTCCGACCGAACTGACTGAATAGTCAACGAGCCTGGTTTCATCTCTGATGGTACCTTAGGGGGGCACTGCTGAAGGCTAGACAGCGATTCGCTGACACGTAGGACTCGATAGTTTCTCAAATGACATATGAATTCATAAAAATCTATTAATATATATTATCTAAAATGAAATGGATACCTGGGTCTTCAGATTATTAATTAGCCCAGCAACTTTGCAGAAATCAACGTCGAAACGCAGGTGATTACTTGGTCATGATTTCACTACAATCAACACAGATCATGCCAAGCTGCCGTGTACTAATAAGTGGTCTTATTTAAATGCTCTTAACTGATTGGTTGAACTAGCAATAAGTCTAACATGAAAGTGATTAGTCATCAACACATTTAAGGTTTGATGATAAAATCGCAGAAATACACGTGTTTAAATCATTACATGACCTTTATTCAATGTCATACCCAAGTAACATTCTTTAACAGTATGGTATCTAAACAGATTAAATATTCGTGATTGACTGCTTGCTATAGACTAAATAAATTGATATATGAGTATGAATTTGGTAGATCATGACTTATCATTATTGATTAACTGTATCATGATTACAGTAGCCCTACACCGATCCGGATCTTCATTTCACCTGCAATAACCAATCACTACATTCACTGGCAATCTGCTAAGCTAATGTTTTTTCAGGCACAATATCTATTTTCTTCTCCAGATCCCCTATTAAGACCTATATGTCCTCCAGTCTAGTCGTAAGTGCCAAAAGTTTGCGTTCGCCCTTTTACAGCTGTATGGAGCACCCTCATCACTGCTTGAAGGCAGTGTAAACAAACCATTACGCCTCATAGAATCAACAAGTTTATGCATATTCATGAAGAAGGCAGTTAGTCAGACCGATTTTGTCAAGGTTATTCATCATGTCTGATTGCTGAAACTTTTATAGCTAACTAGGACATTGATCCCACTGAAATTTACAATTCTAAAATCAAATATGTTCAATAAGGGAGATAATCCGTCTCATAAGTGAGCTACAAAACAACATTAACAGAATGACGAGTCCTGCATCCATTTCCCTACTTATTTATTTCCATTTTTTTATTGTAGCATGACTCCACACAGTATTTTTGGTACAAGTATGGAATTTTCAGCATGTGATATCGGTAGCCCAAATTCAGCAGGCCGACCATTGGTATCAGGTGTGCGTCCGCCGGGGATCGAACCCTGGACCATGTGCATGGTCGGCGAGCATCCTAACCGCTATGCCACCGACGCACACAGATACTATCATCAATTCTGCACTCAGGCATATTTCACAGGTCATCGTCTGTTACTCGTCAGATTCTTCGCAGAATTGTCATTTCTTGTTTTTTTTATGTCTCTTCTGTAGTGGCTTTTCTGTTTACATTATAAATCACCATTCCTTTTTTCGAAGATAATATTTTATATGCTGCTAGTATCTATTCATGAGTAGTATACAATGTAGTAATCAGATCAATACTCTTCAATATCCATTTTGACATATTTTTTAAAGTCAGATTGTCAAGTCTGTGCCTGCTAAATAGCGTTTGGAGTAGCCGATATAGATCCCCAAAAACAAATAATGACAGCATATACTTCTAGTTCAAGACCCTTCAGCAAAGAATGTTAATCCTTAGTCGCATTAAGAGTCGGACAAAGTGTTTCAAACAAAGCCTCACTTTGATTAGACACTAGTAACTAGTGTAATGTTTCTCGTCCTATGTTTGATGCAGACTAAATTCTGTCAGTCAAGTTTGCAATGTGGCCACCGTTCTAGGTAGCTGGCCATCACAGCGCTGACGAGTGCCAACTAGCACGAAACCTGGGTCAGTTAATAGGGGCTTCCTACCGACCACCTCCAACCATCTAATATTATCATATCAATGTGCACCGTGAAGGTGAGCCACCTAGAATGGTGGCCACAATGGAAACCTGACGACCCATAGAATTCAGTCTGCACCAAAGAAAGGACTAGACACATCACACTAGTTACTAGTGTTCAATCAAAGTATCTACTACAGTCCTACAGGAGGTCAATCGCCAACCTGAATAGCCCAGTAGTAAAGTCTCTGACTACAGCAATGGGTGACGCCGTGGATTTGAATCTCAGAAGGGTCATGAGTTCCTTCAAGGAGGTAGATACGCCTCACTGACTAGTGAGTGCCAACTAGCGCGAAACCTAGGTCTAGGCAAGGCTTTCTGTTGGTTGCCTCCAACCGTCTAATATAATCAGATCCTCACTTTTTTAGGTGATCTATTCAGTAGACATACAAGGAGTGTTCATGTCAAATATTTTCACATAATTTTCAGCATAAACGAGAAAACAGATGCAGAAGATCGCTGAAGAAACCAACTGACACTGAAGGGTACAAAATTACAAATCACTGACAGTGGTTAGAGTAAAAATAAAGAAGGATACAAAGAAATGAGGGAATTAATAAAACACTATCCATTGTTTTGGTGGTATATACCACTGACTGTTGTAAGTAGTCAGCAACCACCCATGTCAAGTAGCAGTTTTGAATAGGTCGACTAGAGCGGTATAAATAAGGAATAGTCAGTTGGCTGGTTTTGACGCCAAGTCCTAGAGGACTCAACTCAGAGGACCTTATCATTATTCCTTTCGGTTCCAAATGGAATGTAGGGCTTCCTTTTCTCTTTAGTCCTCTTTAGTTACCTCCACAATTGCTCATATGCTTATATTTCCTCTTCACAAGATCTCCTCCACATCACTGTCGAATGCCCGATACGCCGTTTCCCACCCGATAGCCTGGTGCGCAATGTCAGTCAGAGAATCTAACCAGTTTGAAGTGCTTGAAGTTTGGTTAGCCATTTGGGTTAACTGGATATTCATAAAATCGACCTTAACATTCTTCAGGTTGGACATTTTAAGCTGGGAAATCATCATAGTTTCCCCCTGAGTTCAGAAGTCATTAGATCAAAATAAGTGATCTCTTCGATATCATAAATGACGACCAAGAAAGTAAGCAAAACAAAGCAAAAGTTTGTGCTACTTGTTGGTCGATATTAGGTGGGTTGAAACCATTTATGTCAAACAGCAGTGCTTCGTAGCCAAACTGAGAGTTATTACATTTAATTACATTAATTTGGTAATAGTAATAGTAATAATAAGGGAGTATTACCTGTAAAAGGCCTTCTGCTACACGTAAAAAGATTAAAATTTCCACATGACTACGTGCTGCAGGCGGTATACAGAATTCAATGATTGCACATCCGGCAAGACTGACAAACACCACCCATTTAGGACCAAATCTGAAGGCTAATATTCCACCTGAAATAAAAATTTAATTAAACCGGTTTATAAGCAAATAAAACATTTTTAATTAAAAGAGAATTGAACATCCAAGGTAAAACTCAGTAGGAGTTCCTTAAGACGCTCGGCGGGTATACCGATATTTACTTCCTTCGAGTGAATAAGTTCGCATATGTAGCATATTGTTTCAGTCAGTGGGACGTTTGTGAACAATGACGTGATATCTAATGAAATCGTGGTCTTGTTGGATACGCGGACGTTTTCGATTGAGTCAATAAAGTCGAATGAACCTCGAAATGTGTGGCAGGAAACTCGTCTTCGGATTGGTTCCAGTAGTAGATATTCAATCTCTTAAACATCACACTGTCTTCTATTCAACTAGACGCACTATCTCTAGGTCCAAAATTCTGCGTAAAACCACCAAGTATTGACAAGCTACAATGCCAGGTTCAGTTCGAAAATCTGACAGAGCAAACTTACGATCTCACACCCACATCAGATGAAAACCTACAACAATTCAAAGCATCAATCCTCGACTGTTGTCACAAGTTTATCAATACCAAACCCCAACGGGAGGTCCATTTTAACGAAAAGGCATCATAAGGAGCTGAAAGAACTTATGAAAAACGAAGAGATTATGGTATTACGTCCTGATAAAGACGGAGGAATCGTAATCATGAATCGCAAGGGCTATATCAGTAAAATGCTGACTATACTATCCGATGAATGCGAATTCACAAAACAGGTCAACGAGAAAAAATATGACTGAACAGACCGAACAAAAGCTAATGGACACGTTCCGTAAGCTAAAGACTGAATCTTTCATTAGCAATGAAACGTTCGAATCCCCAAGACCATCTGGCTCATATATACCACCACTTTACGGACTCCCGAAAGTACACAATAAGGTTACCCCCCTTCGACCGATCCTCGACATGACCAGTGGTTAGCAGCCCTACTGGAACTAATCAGAAGACAAATTTCCTGTCACGCAGTTCGAGATTCATTCGAATTTATCGACTCGATCGAAAACATCAATGTATCCAACATGACCATGATTTCATTAGATGTCATGTCATCTTCAATTAAAACTACAATATTGGTCAACTCACAATTACTCTCCTGGACAGCATAAACCGTCTGATGTCATTAGAGCCCAGGAAAGCAAGACGAAACTCACTTCTTCAGGTCAGGTGATTGGCCTATTCTACCCCATTATTTATACGAATTTCAATCAAAATCACTATTGAATGTATATTGTAACTATCCAACACCTCTCATATTTCCCTCAACCTCTTGCAATATGCTTGACACCCACAGTTGTTGGCCCGATGCTTAACAAACTTCCCGTTTTGGACATTTACTTGATTAATTGCCTCTATCTCATTTGTAATGATCCCAATAACGCAGAAGTTTGGATCATAGTGTTTGCCAGCAGAATCTTTATGATGGTTACTGGAGAGAGCCTGTCGGATTGCACGGCCGGAAATGGAGGCCGGAGAACTTCATCGTTCCTTCCTCGGCACCTATTGGCTTCTCACTTACAAATAACCCCTCCTTGTTCTTGTTATTGCAGCTTGTAGTCAAACGGCAGTTGCTTACAAGTATGCCAAAATTTCCTCCGTAACTTTAGTATATTGACTACAATAACTAATAGTGGCCAATTTTTACGAGTGAGAGACATTTACACAATTAAAAATATTAGTCAGAATAAGCAGGCCTGATAAAGTTCAAAACAAATGGAAAGAAAATCACTCAGTGCTTTAGGATGTTTCAAAGAAAACTGTTCAAGTAACCTTTTCATATGGTAGAAATAAAATGTGTGGGTAACCTTTAGTGGTACTACTCCCACTAGGTTATTTCTATTGACTCCAGTTAACGGCCGTGAAATGGTTGTGAAATGCTGTGAACACGACAGTTAGGCCAACTGGATTACTGTCGAAAATTAAGTTAAGAAGACGTCATTCGGGTTATCAATAACCTCTGAAGGGAATATCGATGGAGACAGCCGTTCTGATATCGGGAGCCTTTCGGAAATGGAGAAACACTATAGTTAAATTTATTCCCCCTAAGTATTTGAAAAAGTGATAGCAGCGGTATAGGGGTTAAAGTTTGGCATCCAGGAGGACTAGAAGAATTCCTCACATAATTTTGACCTTATTATCTATTTAAGATACAATTCCTCAGGTCCAAATAACCCAGTATAACAAGGAACTTAAAAATTTTCACTGATATAGCTTCTTAACTTCAAGCTAAAAAGCAGTTTATGTGTAATCGGAAGAAGACGTACCTTTGAGAAAAGTACCTTAAGAAAAGTATCATGGCATATCTGCAAAACGACAATTTGTTATCTAGAGCACGGCATGTCTTCCGAGGAAACCTCTCATGCCTATTAAATGTCCTCACTGCAAAAGAAAACTGGATCAAATCAAGGGAAAACAGAAGATCCGTTGACGTCGCCTTCATAGACTTAAGCAAAGCCTTCGATAAAGTTCCTCATGAAAGACTAATTGTGAAGTTGGAAAGTCTTGGTATCGAAGGCAGCTTACTAAAATGGATTAGAAAATTCCTCATAGATAGGAAGCAGAGGGTTAGGATCAACTGGAAACTTTCCTCTTGGACGATAGTGCGTAGCGGAGTGCCACAGGGCACGGTACTCGGACCTCTCCATCTTATTCTGTATATCAATGAGTTATCTCCACTCACCGATTCCCCTGTGGTCCTAAAAATCTGGAGAGAGCTGAAGGGCGACAGTGATACGCTCCCGTTGCAAAAAGACCTCAACAAATTTTCAGAGTTGTCCAGGGAATGGTGTTCCTGATCATTGTAGCGAAATTTGCAGCCATGCACATTGGACACGCAAGCATCAGCTCCTATGAACTAGAGGGAATAACACTTCGATCAGTTCATACTCATTTGGATTTAGGTGTCATAGTAAGTCACGATTTAAATACTAAACCACACTAACGCGCGGTAGCTGCACAAAGTTTCAGATCCTTATGGGAAATTCGCAGAACCTTTACTAGAATCACTAGAGATATGTCCAGCTCTGGTGAGGTCAAGACCGGAGAACTGTATTCAGGCAGCCAGTCTTCCCCTTAAAGGGGACTCAAATATTCTAGAAAAGGTTCAAAGGGAGGCGACAGTTATGATTCTCGGAATGACTAATCTATCATATGAGTAGACAGTTTAAATCTCTTCTCCCTATCATGCCGAAGGCAGAGAGGGGATCTAGTTACAATGTTTAAAATTTTAAGTAATGAAAATTGACCTAAAATTGACCCTTCTTTTCCTTCACACTAGGTCGGAACATCTTAGAGGACATAGTAGGAGAGGTCGAAGTTCAACAATAGCGTCCAAAGGATGCAAACGCACGACTGCCCTTCAGCCGATCAGTCATAAAAATGAGTAATTTTTGCACAAAACATGACGAATATTTACAAGAAAATACATGAAAACACATCTTTGTCTGACATGACTTAAAAATACGTCTTAGTTATGATGAGGAGTATCAGTTGCTAAGTTAGACTAGTTTCTCTACATGCATTCACCCAGCTGACTGTAGATGAGCTGTTTTTGTGAATCGTTCATCTCTCTTATCCTCTTGCTCAGTCTTCCCCACGGAAGCCGTCGGTTGAATTACTATGGTTTCCAGCAACAGGATCAACACCTACTTACCAGGGAAATGTGGATAATAAAACAAATCAAAATAAATGATATCAACTCTAAAACTATCCATAACCGTAAACCTAACCATAATCCTAATTATGATCCTGATCCTAATCCTAAGCCAATACCCACCTCAACCCTAATCATAACCCTAACGAGCTATTAACATATTGTCCAAACAGTACTTAGAAACGTGATCTAGGTGAAATTTGCATCTTAGTTGGTGAATAGAGTTGATATTTTAGTTATGATATAGACAAGTGCCATTAACCAAAGACTAGCATGCGTTGAAGGTCACTGGAGCATATGCACTCCTGGAACGCTATTGCTGAACTTCATCCAGGAGATTTCAAAAGCCAAGAAGAAATCATATTGCTGTGGTATACTGGTTCTCACGTCGAGTCATAAACTCCTGGAACCGACCTCCAGGACCTCACCTGATTCATTTAAAAGAATGGTTTGAAAAAGCACAGAAATTTACGAGGAAATTTCATTAATGATTAACATAGGCTCCAAACCTTATTTCCTCAATCAATAATTCTAAATCTGAATATCCAATGAAATCAAACCTGCGACTAAAACATATATGTGTCTATATTTCATGATTATTTTCCGCCTAGATTTATAGATTTCTCATCAATAATAATTACACAATCAGTAAAAGTAGTGAATCTAACCTGGAATTTGAGTTATAATATAACCCCAGAAAAAAGCTCCAAGTACAATCCCTTGAGTTAGTCTTCCCCAATTGAGTTCGCCAACATTGATCTTAACAAAATAATGAAATCGAAACCACTCATTTACTCTGTTATGGTTGGTTGGAACGTCATCCGTAGAGTTTGCACAGAAAAACGTTTTATGAATGTTAGACTTTTCCTCCACTGTTTCATTAACCATAGCGAGAATTGTGACATTTAAGTCAACTCTCATCATGTAAATAAGAATACAGTTTAAAAATGCCATTACAGCAATTATGTAGCGACATTTGCTACAAAACACTTCTTTCACACGATTCATTTTCACACTGAGTGTGTATATGTCTAAATTGACAAGTTCAAACAACATTCAAGGTCATTTTTAATTTGAATCATTTCTTTTTCTTGTTTAGTTTGTGAAATCTGAAGTTACTGTGAAATGACATTTTGTTATTAGTGGACTATTCTGTTGCATTTTTAAGTTGAAGAAGTCCACAGAATATATCGGTACTATTAACGTCCAAAATCTACTTAAAATCCAATATCGTTTTTACGAGATAGTATAAGCCAATTTGATTTCTTTGCGCTCGCCTCTTGATTGTGAGGTATAGGTTCCTGATCTTCGGCGAAATTCTGCGCAGCTCGTCCCACCACTCGACTGTCGTAGCTTTAGTTGACTCCAAAAGAAGTAGTGTTGGGATTAATTATATGTGGTTTGTAGTATGAGGTGCGTCAAGACTGTTACTACTGTGAATGGAGTTGATCCTTTCACCAGTTAGTCCTCCGGTATAGTCGTCAAAAGAAAAGAGATAATAATAATAGTAAATATAATTAGTGAAGTTATTCAGACTAACAGACAGAAAAAGAAATAAGAAAACGTAACAACAGACAGCTGATTAAATTTGAAGAATAATATGAATGATATGTATGTATATACCGGTAATAATGATAATAATAATGATAAGTGTAGTTAAAATTGCCAGGAGAGTAAGACGGAAGAGAATGTAAAGAAGTAAAACGACTTACTTAATTGTCTACCCATGAATGGTGTATGCGATTTTAAGGGGATAGGCCATTTGGACGCAGTCCTTGTGTTGCTGCATAATTGCCAGCCTTCGCTTAAAGGCGTCCACAGATGGTGCCATAGCTACATCTGCCGGTAAGGAATTCCAGTGAAAAGAAGTGGGAGCGCACCCGTGTCCTTGCCCTCTGGTGAGCTATCCTTCTGTGATTTCCACGAGGAAGCCTATACCTACTCAATGGCAGAACACCTTTGTTAGGGTGATTCTAATCATCGGTTATCTTCTAGGCAGTAATTAAATCCCCCATAAGCCGATGGTAGCTAAGTGCGAATAGGCCTAATTTCTTTGGCATTTCATCATATGGTTTATTTCAGAGACCAACCACTCCTTTTGTTGCCCGTCTGTGGAGTCTTTCCAAGAGGTTGGCGCCTCTTCTAAGCAAAAGGGGTTTAGTGATATTGTGCGCTTCAAGGTGTAGTTTGACGTATGTTTTGTACAACCTTAGAAAGAGCTCAGGAGTGAGCGCGCCTAACTGTCTATGTGTGAAGTGTATGACTGCATATGCCGTCGCTACATCCCCAGTGTAATTCACGCCTGCCTACATTTTTCCCGTTAGAACTAGACCTAAGTCACGCTCCAACGTTGGGCAGGACAAGCTTTCATTGCTCGGGGTGTTACCTGCATTCTGCAGCCTACAGGTGCGAAAATCCCTACTTTGCACTTTTTCAGTTTGAAAGTTACACTATTGGCCACCGTCTAGTCTTTCAAAAGCTTTAGATCTGCTTGCAGCCTGAGTCCTCCGGACACTTTATCACCCTCCATATCTTCACGTCGTCAGCGTATAGAAGAGTTGGGCAGCTTAGATGGCATGGTAGGTCACTGATAAAAATCAAAAACACCAGTGATCCTAGGATAGAACCCCGCGACACTCCTGATTACGAGCTAGGCCAAGATGATCGGACTCGATTGACTTTAGTGCGAAATTGCCTTTCAGTTAGGTAGTCCTTTAACCATGACAGAAGTGGCTTACCTTGCTTATTTTGTGCAGGAGAAGGTCATGCTGAACGGTGTCAAATGCCTTCTCAAAGTCTGAGAAGACCACATGGACTGAAACATTCATATCCCAGCATGATGTCCAATCGTCCCAAGCTGATAGTGCGTTTGTTGCACAGGATCTGCTTTTCTTGAAACCGTGCTGGGCTTCATGGAGTGTATTAGACCTATCGAGGTGTTCCCCGATGTGATCGTCAATAATAATTTCCAGTACTTTTGATACCACTTGGAGTAGAGCTACTGGTCTATAACTAGTGGCATTTTGTCTATCCCTACCGTTGAAGATCGGAGAAAGGATGGCTCTTTTCCACTCCCTTGGCAGTTTCCTCGAATCCATTGAGTGTTGGAAGAAGCCGCATAAGGGCCTACAGAGAGCTTCGGCGCACTGTTTCAGAACAGATGGCCTGATGTCGTCACAACCTGAGGACTTCCCAGGTGTGAGTCACTGTAGCTTCCTTAGTACTATTTTCGGGTTTATTTGGGGACTAGCCACTAGGTCCTCCCCCTGTGAAATAGTGATGCCACCATTTTGTTCACTAACAGTAATACCCACATTGCTGTTTAGCTGTTTGGCGAAGGCTAAACTGAATGTTTCAGCCATCTCCAGACTAGTGAGATATTGACCGTTTGGGCCTACTAAGGCGCATGTCCTCAGGTTGGTAGGTTTTCTTTCCGACATGAATCGATACAAGTTTTTGGGGTTCGCTAGGAGGTTTTTGGCAAAGTTGGCCTGGAATGACCTCCTGCCACTCCTGACTGTCGCGTTGCACCGGTTTCTGAGTCCCAGGTATGCGTCACGGTCGATCTGACTCTTAGATACGCGTCACGTAGACCAAGCTTTCCGCTTTGCTTGCAGAATACGTTGCGTGCCTCTCTTCAACCACGATGACCTTCTTTTGGGCTGCGTTGTGGCTAAAGGGACGGTATCTGAGATTTTTATATTAATAATCTTTATTACCACTTCCCAGTGTTCATCCACAGATAGCTCATCTCATGCTAAGGGGCAGTCTGAGTCGGACAAGAGCCTCCGCATTTCAGCATAGTCAGCCTTGCTATCACACAGACATGGTCGCGTAACGTCCCACTGCAAATAGTAATAATGTATATTTTCATATAAACATAAATTTACATGGAAATGCATGCCGTTTTTACAGGCACGATCAAGTATGATATAATATCAAATAGTAGATTGTCTACAAGTTAATAATGTTTCAACAGCTAAATATTTGATATATATATAAATATATATATATAAATACACTCATTTTCGGACCCAGGCGTATGATTATTGAATTGTACAGTAGTCCTCCAGGTTCCGCAGGAAAATGGACTTCGTTTCGTCTTCAGCCCGTGGTTGTAAGCATACGATAACCACGGAGAACTAGATCAAAGCCTATGACTGCATGAGTCATGATCTGAACCTTTTTGACGAGTAGTTGGTCACTAGTTAGAATGTAGTCTAGTTTTGATGACTTCCCATTAGGGCACCACCTAGTGTTGTCTGCAACATTCTCAGTCAGTCCCGTATCTCGAATAGTTTGCAGTAGATTTTGGCCGAATTTTCCCTTAGAATACCGTGAGCCAAGTTTCAGTGATAGGGCATTGAAATCTCTAGCCATGGTGATTTGGTCATAGCCCAAGTCCCGTATCCCTGTGATAGTGCTCAGCGGAAGCTGATTGTGCTCTGCCCCACAGGGGGGGAGAACGGTAGATGCCACCCAGTAAATGCTTGGTGTGGCCTACGGTGAAATGACACCATATGGAGTCTGGGAGTTCAATAAGTGGTGGGTCCGTTGTGCGCACACATTTAAGTTGCCTGTAAAAGTATATAGCGACTCCCTCCTTCCTTATTATCCCTGTCTCTCCTGACCAGAACCATTTCATCTATAGTGATTTCATTGTTGGCAATAGTGGTGGTTAGCCAGGTTTCAGTGTGAATGTTTATTTTAAGTTGCAGGTGTGCTTGGAGATTTCGGAGTTCACCTACCTTTCCTCTCAGCCCCCTCACATTGCTATGTAGGCAGCTGACAGTGTCTCACAAACTCAGCGTGTTGTAGGGTAGTTGATGTGAAGCTGCCTGCTGGTAGGGGACTTAATGTGGGGACTAGTTGGCCGATTCGAATGAGACCGGCCCGTTGTAGTTTTTTGCATGGATTCAGGTAGGACACTTGGGTGACATAGACTGTTATTCTCAGTACTGCATTGCTCTAGTGTCACTGAAGCCTGGGGACGTATTGGTCACAACAACATCACATGGACAGATGTACGCTCGTTGGGCACCAAAAATCCCTCACCAACTACAACCCACCTTTCCTTAGATAATGTGATGAACTTATATCCATAATGTTGCTGAGCAGTTAATATTCTCAACTCCTGTCGGAACAGCTGAAATTCATAAACCTTCCTCACGCTAAGAAAATACCCACAAGCAGTAGAAATCCATTAATTAATGCGTCTGAAGCTTATATATTTACTCCCAACAATGACATTGCAATTCAAATGAGACAAACATATCACTGATTTCAAAAAAACACATCAATGAACTATAATTCGAGGATTCTGCACACAACAAAGTTATGTATGAATATTGACTTCAAGCTTTACTTTTTTCCAAGGCACTTATAATCCATCCACCAAAGACCTGGTTTTTTTGTTAATGCGAAGACAATACTTCTGTATTTCCTGATGTGTTGCACTCACTGACAATCTGGCAGATTTTTCCAACTGTGCACAGAAATGATTGTATATAAGTGTAAAGGCTGTTTTATACTACTGAGAATAACATTTATCAAGTTTATGTATAATCTCCAGCGAACATGTAAAGCATATCTTGCTACTGCCTGTAAATTGTGATTGAATTATATGGTTCTATTTCTGTAACAATTTGATGATGCCTGTAAACTGGCGTCCCTCATGTACTGTACTATGAGAATAAATTTATTTATTCATTTAAGCTTCAGTTTGCTGCCTCCTTATGGTTCGAGGTTTGCTTTCGGAGCATCTGATGTGTCCTCACATTTTTTCCTTGGTCTTATACCACCGTTGAAGTGCTATGGCCAACTGTTCCGGGGAGTTGAATGTGACACTTGGCAGCTTTGGAGAGCTAATCAGTGTAAGATGAGCGGAGCAAGGTAGTCGGAAAATGGAGATCGCTCCAGAAGCGCCAAGGGCCATCTGAGATGGTAGCCATCTCCATTGCTGTACATCATGCATGTGTTTTCCACAAGCAGTGCTCGTTTCCAGCTCCGGAACACCGTGTACCAAC